CAGAGGCAAAAAATGCATTTAGCTTCTTAGCCATTGCCCCCCCCCAGTCGGAATAACGAGACAGACAACAGTTTGGAAGTAAACAAGGGCCACTTTATTAACTATTTAACATAACATTGCGGCAAGGGACCATCTAGGCGAGCACGGAACAGGCAAGGCAGGTGTCATTCACTTGACCAACCTCCTTGCCCTTTTCTCGGGCGGGTCACCCAGCTCCGGTCTTGAGCCATCGATCTGGCTCATGACTGGCAGCCCAGCAAACTGGTCGCCACATAGGAGTGCCTACCCCTGAAGCCTGACAACTTGCAGAGAGGAGCATACCCTATGAGGTTCCCAGAGGAGGTGATCACCATTCCCCACCCTGGACCTGAAAATCCGAAGGCAGTTCCTGATGACCCCCTGTTCCCTAATGGGGAAATTGCCGTCAGGTGCTCACCGGTTCCAGTTTCTTGCCCGCACCAACCTGCCAAGTGACCAACCTACATAACTGCTGACCACCACATCCAACACTTCAATCCACTACTCCCAGTGCAGGGTAGGCGAAAACACCCCCACCCAATCTGCCAATTCTGGGTGGAAGTGAAAAATTCCTACCCGGCCCCAGTAGGCGACCAGCAAAAGCCTGCACTAAGAACAGGGCAGGAGGGTGGGCGAGCACGAGTCTCCAACTGACAGGGAGGGAGCGGAGCCCGGCAGTTTGCCAAGCCGGCTCCGCCCACCCTGTCCTTGTCATGACGCCCCCAGACCTCACCGGCAATGCCGGGAGGCCGGGAACCCCATTTGCCTATCATCCTGCAGTACTCCTTTTACCCCTTGGTCATCCAAGGGCCCCACTGCCTCCCTGGCTGGTTTCCTGCTCCTAATGTATTTGAAGAAAGTTTTATTGTTGGTCATTACGTTTTTCGCTATATGCTCCTCATATTCCCTTTTTGCCTGCCTGGCCACAGACTTACATTTTAGTTGCCATAGCCTGTGTTCCGTTTTATCAGCCTCACTGTGACTAGCTTTCCAGTGCTTAAAGGAATCCTTTTTACCTTTTACAGCTTCCATTACTTTGTTTGTTAACCATGCAGGCTTTTTCCTATACCTGTTTGTGCATTTCCTAACCTGCGGAATATTTTTTTTTAGCTTCTAGGATTGTAGTTTTAAATAGTTTCCAAGCTTCCCCAATGGTTTTGAGCCTTTCTACTTTTCCTTTCCGTTTCCTCCCCATATGTCCCCTCATATCAGAAAAGTTACCCCTTTTAAAGTTAAAAGTGGTTGTCTGAGTCGTTTTGGCCACTTCCCTATTTATACAAATGTTGAACTCAACAACATTATGATCACTGTTCCCAAGCGGTGCAATCACTTTTACATCTCTCACCAGGTCTTGAGTGTTACTTAGGACCAAATCAAGGATC